TCTCTCTCTCTCTCTCTCTCTCTCTCTCTCTCTCTCTCTCTCTCTCTCTCTTTCTTTCTTTCTCTGTCTTAACTGTCTATCTTGTACTGTTATTCTCTTTCCTTCATTATCTCTTTGTCTTTCACTTGAACACGCACAAACGCACGCATACAAACACATACGCATAATCTTACAGGTAAACAACCGTCGTACCAATCGATACGCCGACCGAACACACAGACAAATGAGCACAAACACAAATAAACAAACAACGTAGAACTTACCTGAGACAAAAGTAACCGCCACTCCGAGCACGTGACACAGTTGTACCACAGAGACAGTGATGAGCAGAGGACCAAACCACAGGTAGTGAGCGAAGTGGATGACTCGGTGAATGTGCTGAGCGTCCACAGACACTAAGTTGACAATCTCCCCCACGGAGAACTCACGGCGTGCTTCGCTACCAACCGTCAGTGACTGGGGAATTATAGTCGATTCTGTCCAAGATCAATAATTGTCGAGGAGAATAGTGGACATCTTAGACTCGAGATCCTTGTGGACATTGTCATTACAATACGTTTTTTAAACACGTAAACGGGGAAGCGGGAAGTGGTCGTTTTGTACATTTGACTGTCTTGGTCAGTAGCGGGGCGCCATTGGTGCAATTGGTGCAAGCGCTCCACCTAACCCTGACCCTCCCCTCCCCCCCCTTTTCTAATAGTTTTAAACTAGTCAGTGCTCTAGATCTACATTAGGCCTAGCCCACTAGAATGACGTACATCTTTGCGATCCGTCACCCGCTGGCTGGGCCAGTGAAGAGACAGACAGGATGGTTTATGCTCGTCGCACCGCCTGCAGTAGTGTCTGCTCGGAGCAAGAAAAATCTTTGCACCAAAGTTATTTTTGTCACTGTAGAGAAATCTATAGGCATCGTTCTACCCACACAAGAAGGAAGGTGCTTGAAACTGCTCTTCGCAGCCCCAATTTGGTGCAAGCTAAAAATTTGATCCAAGTTTCCGCGAGCCTATCTACAACACTAGTAGAGTCTACGGTAACTCAATGAAGAATGGGTACATGTATCGAAACTGTTGTCTCCCTCTATTGTATAGCAAGTCCTGGTGCTGCACGAATTAATTAGAAATTTTTTAATCTTCTCAGATTGTGAGCCTAGTGAGTTGTTTGTATTGTTTCACTTTATTGCAGCTTTTATGCGGTTTCATCTAGAGACGGTTGTAAATATCGATAGATGTAGATTACGGAATATCCTGCAGATTCTAATTGACTTTCTCTAGAAATCTTAATAGTAGATCTAGCTACTAAGCCTATTGCCCATTTGTTCACTTTCCAATTATGCACCACCTTGTCTGCAACTCACGCGACGCCACTGCTTGGGCAGGTTGTTGTGAGACATTCCCGTCGACAAAGATTAGACCATTTAGGGGGCGGACTTCTTTGATCTCGGCTGTCAGGGCAAACCAAGTCAGATCAAGATAGAATGAATATCTCAGTCGAAGAGGCTATAACTTCTTTGAATCCAAGAAAACGGACGCGCATATTTATGCCGCAGCGAAGAGCCTCGCGGCTGCACAATACACCCATCTCTTGAATCGTGTTTCCTTGGCGTACATTAAATAGTCGTGTTGAGGAAAAAATGTCAACGTTTTAATGTGTGCTGTAAATCCACTATATTTCTTACCGCTTTAGGCTAACATCGAAGAAAACGTGTCGGAATCTTAGTTTGCAGTGACTTTAGTGAATGTTATTTCGATTCTGTTGACCATCCGAATTTTAAATCCGTATGCAAAGATAAGAAAAAGATTAAACAGAGCGATTTCATTTCACCTTGTATTAACCATGATCAGACGAAAGTGAACATGCTATAACAGTATATTTCCTTTTTGATAAAAATATTTTAAAAACTTTTGACGCCCGCTCTGCTTAAAATGTGATTGTTTCTAATATGGTTGCTGCAGAAATGAAGATACGCCACTCTGACATCAACAGACACAAGAAAGGTATAGGCAAGTTGAGAGTTACGAACCAGTAACCTACCTGCCCCAACTTCCTTTTTTTTCGAAATAAAAAAATCCTTTATAAAAAACTGAATTGTGCCAAATATTTCGCTGTGCCTAAACGGTAGAATGCCGCAACAAAAGTCAAACAAAACTCCTCACCTTCCGAAACACGGCAGAAATGACCGTGCTCTTTATCCTATTAGCGAGCCGGCAGGTGAGGAAACAGCCTCCTACCATGATGAGGGTCGGGATGCTTTGAGCAGCCACAAACGTCACCACGTACACATAGCCGTGCCAGGCGGGCTCACTCAGGTCTTTCACGTAGTCAATGACCCATCTGTGGAGTAGAAATGTCCGGACATATTAGTTTTACCTTGAATTACTAACGATGTCAAGGATAATCAACAGCTCTATACAAACAAAGAATCAGTCACGTACCGATATATCAAAACGAATGACTCACCCGAGAATGACAGGCTGAACAAGAAGCACCACAGCATAACCCAAAATTCCTGAATGGCAGTACAGAAAATCCTTCCAGAAACAAAGCCAGAACGCCCATGTAAAAGACACCTTTGCACTCTCCTTATCTTCCTCCTCCAAATCGTCTTCTTTTACCTTTATGCCATTGGGTGTGTGATGAGTGTTGTCCTAGAACAGAGAGAAATGTGCTTAGACATTCGAGTAGCATAAGTAAAGTTTCTCTTTAAAAATAAGAAGAGGAATTGATTATATTTCATGATAAAACTCGTTTCTTCATGGAGAGTATAGATTGGTAATATTGTCTTCTTGAAGTAGCTGATCTGTTTCTATCTCTGTGTATGTGCATCTACCCATACCCTCTCTCTTTCCTTCTATCTCTCCCTCTCTCTTCCTCTAACATAATATATATATA